GCAATCACCTTGTACCTTGCCATGCTGTATTCATTTTTTAAATTATAATTAAGAAACTTTTCATAAAATTTCCCATCTTAACCATTTCATACCTGCAGTGCCGTGCCCTTCAATATATTCACATGGGTGTGCAACCATATCCATCTTCCATATTTTGTCATCTTCTAAATCTGAAGCCCTGCACTCACTGAACAGCTCACTCCTCAACTGCCCCCCAGAAGCTGCCATTGTACTCTTTTCTCTGTGAATTTGATAACTCATAGTTACCAGTGTTCTTGATTGTCTTGTTTCACTTAACATAGTATCATATGTCAGATTCCTTTTTAAGGCATTGTAACATATAGAAATACCACATTTTTGGCTCAACAGATATAGCACCTGCTGCACAAGTATGAGGACCTGAGTTCAGGTCCCCAGCACCCACATAAAAGTAGGGCCTGGCCACATCCCTGTCATCTCAGAGCTGACAGGAAATACAGCAGGATCTCAGAGCTTGCTGGCCAGCCAGTGTAGCTGAAACAGCAAGCTACAGGTTTGATGAGAGAGAGTATCTCAGAAAGTATGGTGGAAAGGGGCCAGAAAGATGGCTAAGCAGGTAAAGGCACTTGCCACCAAGTCTGATTGTCTGGTTTCAATCCCCAGGATCCACATAGCGGAAGGAGAGAAACAATGCCCACAGGTTGTCCACTGACCTATACACTATTACACATACTCATTTCTCCTGCACACATATACAAATACATTTTTTTTATTTTAAAACTACTTTAAAAATAAAGTGGAGAGGTATTGAGGGAGATACCTGACTTCAACCTTCTATGCCTTCACACACAGAGAAGTACTGCCCTCCCCCACACATATACACAAATAGTATTGCCATGGACAGAATATTGTGGTCTTATCCTTATATGGTCTGTGCCTGCATCTCCTTTCCACCCTGTACCTGGTATTTTTGTGATCTGTATTTTATATTTTTATTCTTCTTACATAGAACCTGACTTATAAGCGTTATTTTTAAATGTTTGAATATATAAAAATGAATCTTCCAAAAATAATGGGTTTTTAATTTTAAATAAAGTCAATAAAGAGGAGATTGCTCTTCTTGTATTATAATCTAGAAAAATTAGGATTTTTTATAACAATTAAGTTTGTTCAGGAACAGAGGAGTTAGCAGGACAAAGAGAGTTGTTTGAAGAGCCTGGTGGGGGTTGTGTTTTTACACCAGTACTGAAGATGCTGTGTGGATGAAGCCATTATTTCTGGAAGACTCAAACCTTTGGAGTCACAGGATTCACCTGCTAACAAAGATTCAACTCATTAGTGACGGAGTTTTCGATTGATTCCATATGTCAAGAAGACAGTCCAAGAGGGAAAACTTGTCTTTTTGTAACAGAGTCCTTGATGGGGTTGAGCAGCTGTGTTTTACTGTCCTTGGGGTCATAGACAGAAAACTCTCATCTAATGCCATCTAAGTGCGAATGCTCACGGCCTGACTCCCTGGAATTAACATTGCCATTAGCTGGTTGCCCCTGCACCTAGAGCGTCACCTAAGAAGACAAAAGGTCTAATCAATCAAATAAGAGAACTAAACCAGAAATGCTTGCAATTTTTGTAAAGGAGGAAATTAACAAGGAATTGTCCTGTAGTTTATTGAAGAGTGGAGTGGTGGTAGCCATGACAGCTGTAGGACACTAGTATGCACAGTGGAGGGAAAGAGCTCTGTGTGCTTACCCTAGTCCTGTGGCAGGAGCCTTCACTGAGCCCTGCTTATCTCCCAGAGCAGCTTGTGTCTGAAGAGCTGGTGTAAAGAGCTCTGTGTGCTTACCCTAGTCCTGTGGCAGGAGCCTTCACTGAGATAAGCCCTGCTTATCTCCCAGAGCAGCTTGTGTCTGAAGAGCTGGTGTTCTGTATCCTGAAGGTTTGATGAAGAGGCCCTTCATGCTGTCCATCTGAGACACATCTATGGGGCATCCACAGGAACCCACTTATGAAGTGTGACCATTGTTGGTATTTTGGAAGGAGAGTCACTCCAGGGAATGAGTCCTCTGTGATTGGCTCTGTGTGACTATGCCAGTATTTGCTTCCATGCCTGACACCCACTGATGTTTTTAAGGTCTTTGCAGAAAAAAAGCTCTCATTATCACATTTCCCTGTGGGTTTCCCATCCATGCCCATAGCCTTTTGTCAGTTTTTATGGCATAGACATATGATCCTGGGGGATATTACCACCAGTGAGTGTACAAGAAGCCCAAAATATCCCTTTCTCATGGAAGATGAGACTCTCCACTCTCCTGTACTAAACTCTGCCTTGAGCCAGCCTCACATACAAATCCAGTGGCAAACTGTCTTGAATTCATCACTCTATGCAAGCGTCCTGGTGATGCTGGGCCAAGGCTCCAGGTACAAGTGTTCATCTGAGCAACTCTAGCAACCTCCACCTTAAACACAAACACCACCCGCCCCACATGGTAATCCCAGACTTCTTTACCAAGGCACAGCAGGGTCTGTGTCATACCAAAGCCACAGGCCCTGTGGCAGGAACCAGGGTTGAACTTATTCTGTGATTATTTGACTCACATCCCTGTACTTGTCACTAGGGCCCAGGCTCTACACTATCCCCAGGAAATGTGGAGATATGTTCAGAGAGACTTGCCCTCACAGGCTCCTGTTAGAGAGGACTCTGGGAAAGACTGTTCTAGCACTCAGGGTAATGGTGCCTGGTAGCACCAAGCAAGAGTGAGTTTCTGCCACACCCAGACCTGAGTCAGGCATAAAGAAAAGAAAACAAGGATAACTATGGGACAATGTGACATGAGACCAGAAGGTGCTTTTGGAACAACAGGTGTAAAGGAACAGACACAAAGGGACACAGAGGAACTGTCTGAAAGGGCTATTTGCCTGGCCACAGAGGTTTCCCCATTCTCTCCCACACATGACACCAGTGTGTGTCACACATATTATACAGTATGCAAAGGTATGCAAACAAGTGTGTCTGCTCACAGGAAACACAGTAGAAAGGACACAAATCCAGTCATCACATGAAGGCAGCACCTGGGCAGCTGGATTCCTGAGTAGGATGGTGACATGATTGAACTTTGACCAGAATCGATAGGGACCAGAATGAATGAGATAGGACAGAGCATGAAGGCGAACTCCCACCACAGAGTCTAGGCCTGTTCAAGGTCATGCATGGGGGGGGGGGCGAACAGTGATCCCTCCCAGGCTGGACAGGGAGGACATTGGAAGTCTAACAGGTCAGCTATGGATCAATGAAGATCTGGCAACCAAGAAATGGAGGCACTGATATGAAGGAGATGCAGATCCATAACTGAGAGTGGGCACTCGGGGGTGAGTGCCTGATGTGGAGCAGCAGGCTTTAGAGTAAGGTTCTTGGCAGGTGATATGTGTCAAAAGTCATCAGTATATGTAAAATCCTAGAGTGAATGTGGTCCCAATGGTGTCCCCTGCCCCAACAGTGAGGAGAAAGACTTGCAGAGGGTGGAGTTCTATCCGGACTTGGTTTGGTAGAGAAGGGGCAATCCATGCCAAAGCAACATGAGCAGCTGCAGCTCCTTCCCCAGAGACTAGTGTCTTATTCATCTGTGTGCCACACAGTTTGCAGTTCCTTGCCTCAGCAGCCAGGAAGCTCCAGAATAATTCTGTAGCTTAAGTTCAGAAACTATGAGAGAAGCAGCGCATCTGGAACTGTTCTAAATTGTTTCACAATGTGTGTGCCTCTCAGCAATCATTTTTCTTATATGTTGTCTTGGGTGCTTGCATAAGGTGCCTCAAATCCTTTGTAAAATTACGGAGGTTTTAAATATATAAAAATACATTTCCTCATTCAAATACTTCTGAGCCATCCTTGCAGTCTGAGCAGGGAGGCTGCCCAGTTGCTGAGTTAGTATTGGATAGATTGAAGCAAAAGGAATTCTTGGAACTTGTAGGAGCCAGACAGTAAATTTAACACATAACTCATTAAAACAGGATAAAAGCAAGGCTTCAAACATCTTTGTGTTTGCCACCAAGTCCATGAAAGGAGGGAGTGCCCTAACACAGCTTGAGATGTAAAAGTGAGATCTTTCTGAACCAGGAATGCAAACCAAAACATGTCTGCATAGACAAGTGCTGCAACCAAGTTCAAAGAAAGAGTGAGGTGTTGATGATACAAGGCCAGGTTGTTTGTTTGAAAACTTAGGACATAATTTTCTTGACTCAAAATGTAGTTTGTGGACAAAAGCTTACTCATAACTTAAACAGAAATTTTTGCAAGTGGTAAATTTTATTTTTAATTAGCCAGTGTTTTATTAATTATAATTTGCCATAAGTCAAGCTAGTGTGAACTAGGCATGGCCTATATAGGCCACACCTATAATCTCAGCATTTAGAAAGTTGAGGTAGGAGGCTCAAAAGTTCAAGACCAGCCTGAACTGCATAACAAGACCCTGTCTGGAAAAAAAAAAGTAAAAAAGAAAGGAAGGAAGGCTACACAGAGAAACCCTGTCTTGAAAAACAAAAGGCAAGAACAACAAAAATAAAAATCATTTGTAAGTGACTTTAAAACTATTTTCTGCAGTTGGTACCTGAGAAAAGATCACCAAGCACCTCCATCCATGCCCAGTGCCACCCCTGCCCAGCTCAGGGCCCCTTGAGCATGAGGTGCTGACTGACTTCAGGATTCCACCCCTAAATGTAGAAGGAAAAGTTTGGAAATCATCACACTGGTGGACACAACACTAATTTGCTACAAGTTGTGATCGTCCGTAGAAGGGAAGGAGGTGAATGAGACTACACAGCTGATCTTGGCTATCAGCCCCACCTCCAATCCTCTCTGACTTAGGATATGATTCGTCCTACCTGAAACAGCTTGCTTGGCCATCAACTAGAGTGATTGGTTATACTCACGGCTTCTGTAGTACGGAGTAAAGGAATAGGCAGATGTGGAAACCTGCAGAAGGGAGGTTGCCTGCCTCTTACTATCATGTTCCTTCTCCATTTCCTAGGAAGAACCCATCACCTTCAGTGAGGAAGCCTTCGTGTCCCACTACCGCTCTGGAGCCATGAGGCAGTTCCTACAGAATGCCACACAGCTGCAGCTCTTCAAACAGGTGCCCAGCCTCCCTCAGGGCCTGTGCCATGTCTTTAGTGGGCATTCCTGCACCTATCTCCACCTTAGGCTCTAAGAATGAGGGAAAGGGGGTTATGGGCCTGGAGAGGACTCCGGAGATAGGTGTAAAAGGGGCATCAGGTGCCAGACCGGTCCTTGGCTTGCAGTTTTCTGAGTTAGAATCACAACCAGCATTTTCAAGAGACTTGTGGTATTCAAAGGGCCTTTCCTGTCTTGAACAGTTGGTTGATCTTAAGCAAATACCACCCAATTGGGTGACTCCCTTGTTTTTAGACAAACTATGATGTGTTTGCTTTTTTTTTTTTTTTCTGTCCAGTTTATTGATGGCCGACTAGACCTTCTCAATTCCGGCGAAGGTTTCAATGATGTCTTTGAAGAGGAGATCAACATGGGCGAGTATGCTGGTAAGACACTGCCTGTAGCATTCCTGGCACAGACAGGATTTTTTCTTCTTTATGAAGAGGGAAAAGGGAAACTGACTTCAACCTTGGCCTTGGAAGAGTTGGGAAATTCCTCATTGTTTTGTGATAGGATGTACATAGTTTGTCCTATGTGAGGCCTCTGATCCCAGAGTAGTTACTTCCCCTGGGTAGAAAAGTCTGTCAGGGTGTCATTGCCAGCATGATGCAAGGGACACTTACCAAATTCTGAAGTAGGGGAGCTGAACTCAAATAAAACCCCTGCCTCATTGCTAGCTGTGATACCTGGGCCAAGTCATGTCCCTTTTCCAGCCAATGTTCTCCCACTTATGCACTGACAGTGCCACAGACTACCTCTCAGGAGTAATTGAATTAGGAACATTGCACAATACCCCGAAATAGTCCTTACCATAGGGTCAGTGCTCAACACATGTTTCTGTGTAGTGTGAGCATCATCAAGTCATGCACAGTGAATATGTAGTCCCAGCCATTGGGAGGTTGAGGTGGGAATCACTTGAGCCCAGGAGTTGGGAAACAGCCTGCGAAATACAGTGAGACCCTTTCTCAGACAGACAAATAAATGAATAAAATGTGAGCATCATTGCTGGGTGGCCAATCTCAGAAGGAGATCCTCTCATTTTTCAGTAGAAACATCTGAGGTGCTGGAAGTGTCAGTAATGAGCACCTCCTGAGTCCCAATCTGGCTTCTTCCCACATACCACTGGTTCAGTCTCTGATGGCAGAAATGACAATACATATAGTTTCAGTCTTTTAGTCAAAATAATGAACACATCTTACTACTGAGCCTGTCCAGTTTGGGCTGTGCTGATGACCAGGGTGGCGGTGCACAAGCTCACTGAGGCAGCTTCACATCCACCTGCTGATACCACAGGCCTAGCCAGCCCACACCACGTTGTTAAAGCAGATACAGAATCTATGGATGGTCATGGCAGACTGCTGACAGGCATTCCCTGCACACTGTACCCAGAGCTGAGTAAACAATGTAAGCCCTAGCTTTGGTCCTCAGGGAAAGAGAAGCTCAAAAAACTAAGACAAACATTAAGCCAGTGCAGGAGGAGAGTTGTATACAGTTGGAATAGCACTCTGTTGACTCTCGCTACACCATTCAGGAGCTTAAAGAAGGAGCAGACTCTGGGTCAAGTTTGACCATGGAGAGGGCTTCTGGGAAAAAGTGGGCTCTTATATTGCTGAAAAGTCTCCTGCTGAGACTTCCTTGGTGCTCAGGATGCAATGAACGGGACTCACCCACAAAACCTGTCACCAGGCAAATGTACCAAAGGTAGATGTGTGTCCAGCAGGGTTCCTACACTGGGATAGCCCTGTTGACTCATGGCACATCAAAGAATATGGATGTGACCTCAGCTAGAGGGTTGTTCAGAAGGAGGAAGAAGGCTAGGCAAGACAGAGTACTTACCTAGCATGCATAGTGTCCTGGGTTCAAGCCTTAATGCCATAAAACCTTGCATTATGCCAGGAGAATCAGAAGTTCTAGGTCATCTTGGGTGGCATAGAAAGCTGGAGGCCAACATGAACTACATACATGACACCCTTTCTCAAATAATAATAATAATAATTATAATTATAATTATATTTATAATAAGCCAGGCATTGGTGGTGCACGCCTTTAATTCCAGCACTTGGGAGGCAGAGGCAGGCAGATCTCTGTGAGTTTGAGGCCAGCCTGGTCTTCAAAGAGACCAGAACAGTCTTCAAACTTATAGAGAAACCCTGTCTTGAAAAACAAAACAAAATAATAATAATAATAATAATAATAATAATAATAATAATAATGGAAAGAAGAGAATGGAGCACCAGAGGATGTGACACTTTAGCTGCCTGTTCAGTTCACTCTGGCAGGGGATGGCAGTTCCTCTCAGTCAAAGTGCAAGGCTGTGCCAATGGAAACATGGGATGGAGGCAGGAGCTTTGCACTGTGGATACTGGTACAAACACCTCCCTGAAAATTACTGCCACATGCTGCCCAGAGTGGGTCCCAGAGGCCTTCTTGCCTTCCCTAGATTGTGAGCTTTCTAGTCTGCAGTTTAAAGAACTCTTCAAATGATAGCCTCTTTCCCTCCTCTTCCCTAGGTAGCGATAAGCTGTACCACCAGTGGCTGTCCACAGTCCGGGTAAGTGTGCCCCATTCAGAGCCACCTGCTTTCCTCTGTGGCCTCCTAGTAGCCCTCTGCTCCTTGGCTGCCTACAAAGTTGCCTCAAGATATAGGACCTGCCATCCCCTCAAATGAAGATGCTTTTGTCTTAATGATGGGCCACCATCCTATAGAAGAGACTAGAAGGAGACAGTCTGCCTTAATGGGAGAAAAGGAGGCAGAAGAAGCTTGGCTGCCTTCTCTTCAGGCCAGCCAAGGCCCATGGAGTGAAGTATTGTTCTAGAATATTTCCTTCCAGTTGTCATGATGACAGATGTGATCATGATCAAAGATGTGTCCTCCTTGCTATGCTGCAGTGTATTTCACAGCAAGGGCTCCTGGGAAATGAAGAACACATGTCTGGGAGACTTTTCTTCACCCCCTTACTGCTATTGTGAACAATGTCTTGTTGAATTGGGAGCCAGGTGCTCAAAGCTCCTGTGGCCTCTAAGGAATTCAAATTTTACCTGACTTTTCCATGACTTTCTAATTGAGTATGTACTCAAAGCATACTGTATGCCAGGGACAGCTGGCCTCTGGGAATCCAGAGAGGGCAGGTCTTACCCTGGGGGAGCTCCCCATCTCGTTAGGGAGACAGGCACGTAAACAGGCAACTCCAGCATAATGTGATAAGTGTTCTCTCCTACTCTGAGCCAACCACAACTGCTGCCAAGGCGGGTCCTGTGGAAGTGGCTGCAGTTGGCCAGAGTAAGCAGCTCCCCCATGAAAGACGGCCTTTGTTCTTGGATGGCCAAACACAGCACTTGGCACATCAGAGGCAAGCAATAAGGACCTGTTGATTGATTGATAAAGGGAGTTTCGGTACTCCAAAGGACCCTTTAAACAGGGTTCTGAGTAATTTTGGAAGGCAGCATGGAATAGATGAGTGGGTGAAAATTTCATATTGTCCTACAACATAGAATGCTTTCTAGGTCAAACTGTAATGTTTTTCATTAAAACTCAAAATCTTTAAGGCAATCAGTTACCAAAAGCTGTGCTAAAAGTTACAGTCAATAATTATTGTCATCTACTATGTGACATATTTGATTAAAATCCTCTGGAGCATAAACCCCTGGGCCTGGCATTCTCGGCTCTGTCCAAGGCGCCCCATCAACCCCCTTTCCATCACAGGTCCAGAACTTCCTGCCCTCCCAGAGCACACTCATAACCCCCAAAGCACTCTGTACTTGCTCATGTGTTGTTTGCTACCCCCAAAACTATTCATTTCTAATATGTTCCACATCATCCTCCATGGCCCAGGTCAAATGTTTTCTACCCTGAATATGTCCCCAGTCTTCTGGTCTCCAAACTCCCAGTGTGGCTCTCACCATCCAGATGTCATTTGAACCTTGGTATGTCCCTCACCCACACACAAAGCCTGGTGGTCTTCAAATAGACCACCCCCATTGGATCAGGGCCCTTACAGCCTTTCAACATGCTACCAGGATGCAATTAGAAGTGTCCTGTGCACTTTAGCCCACTTATCTGCCTCCTGAGCAGTGGAAAGCTTCCTCCATATCTTCCTCCCATATTCCCCAAGGAAAGTAACAAAACATATTGTCAGGGGGTCCTGGTTGATCAGGACCCTGTTTTCTTCCCTAGCTTGAAGTTAACTAGATAGTTCAGTTATGAAATGTGACTGAACACTATCGATGGTAACTAGAAATTCTTCTTTTTTAATCATTTTTTTTATTTGAATTAGAAACAAGATTGATTTACATGACAATCCCAGTTCCCTTCTCCCTCCCTTCCTCCCCTACTCCCCGCCCCCCTCCCCCAGAGATTCTTTAAAGAGCTACTGGTGACGATAAGGAAACCCTTGCCTCAGATAGCCTGGACAGGGGCAGGTACTGAGCAGAACACTGAACATACTGTCTCCCCTTGAGTACATACCACATGCCTCTTCCCCAGTTCCCACACATGCATCACACCAACACACACACACACACACACACACACACACACACACACACACACACAGTCTGCCATAGCCCTAACTGACCCCAACCAGTGACCACCTGGGCCTGCTTCTCTTCTCACATGCTCTGGAAATGTTGCCTGGCTTGATGAAAGAGAAACACTCTTTGTTGGTCCTGGCTCACTCTCCCTCCAGCCCACATCACTGATTGACATCTTTATTACAGAAAGGAAGTGGAGCAATTCTGAATACTGTAAAAACAAAAGCTAACCCAGCTATGAAGACTGTCTACAAGTTTGTAAGTACTGGTTGCAGTCTGGAAGCCATGGATGGGTTCTTTCATACAACCTGACTCTTTTTTGTTTAGTTGATTTTAATTTGTTTATTTTTTTCGAGACAGGGTTTTTGAAACAGGGTTTTCTGTGTAGTGCTGGCTGTCCTGGAACTCACTCTGTAGACCATGCTGGCTTCAATCTTCCTGTCTCTGCCTCCGAAGTACTGAGACTAAAGACATGTATCACTACGCCCAGCACAACCTGACTCTTAAGTGTATCAATGTGTAGATTGTAGAAGTGACCAAAGGGTGGCCATACCATTTCTTAGCAGTCCTGGTTTTCTGAGAATTGCTTGGCATTGCTGTCTTATAACCATGACTATGTCCATGGTGGGAAGACCACCCCCTTATTTCTAACTTCCCCATGTCAGGTTACATGTACAGTTACATACAGGGAGTGTGGAGAGCAGAGATTGGGAAGGGCCTCTGTTTTATAACCATGACTATGTGTATGATATGGAGACCCCCCTCAGCTCTGTCCTCAATTCTTCATCCTCTCTCGTAGCACTGCCCTGTAGAAGTGTATTGTGAGACTCTCTCACTCTGTCTCTCACAAGCCTCTAGTACTTGCTCTTGTGCTTTTCCTTCTTGGTCATTCAATCCTGAGCCACACATGGGGTGGCTTTGTTTTGGTTTCACTTTTAATTGTGTTGCTGCTCCCTGTACTTAAACTCCAGTTGCTACAGTGGACAGGTGGCTACCAGCAGAGTTACACAGGTCAAAACTGACAGAAAGTAGAAGCTAGAGTGCCCACCAAATTAAGGAAATGGCACTGTAAAAACCTGGCAGTTGCTGTTGTGTTTCAACCCTTCAGCCTGGAGAGGAGAGTAATCCTGAGGCCTTGCCCTGGTGAGGTACAGAGGGTGTTCTGAGTCTTGTGGCTGGCAAAGCTGCTGTCCTTTTACCAGTAGCTGTCACCATGCTGCCTCTGCCAAAGTAAATAATTATAGAGAGCAGAAGAAAGGCTGGGAAGGAAAAGAGTAAAAAAGTCTCTGCCATCAAAATGCAGAAATGGAGTCTCTGCAGCCCCTTTAAGGTTTTTTTTTTTTTTAACCTTTTACCTTTGTATTTGTTTTCACAGCCATTATATTTTCAACTTGATGATCCCATTTCTCCTTCCTTTTTCTAGTAATCAGAGAAGGTGATTCATGATGGACTGAAATCAAGCATAGACCCTGCTGGAAACAGAAAGGGAATCTTAACTTAAATTAATTTTTCATGCAGGCAAAAGATCATGCAAAAATGGGAATAAAAGAGGTGAAAAACCGCTTGAAGCAAAAGGTACTTGAAGTTCTTATTCAAAATGTATAAGCACCGTGTATGAAATGCGTAGCCACAAAAAAAGTAGGATGTGATCAATAGAGGGCTGTTTGATACAGTGTTGTTAGCACACTTCAAAATGCATTACCAGCTGTCCAGGAGTTTCACACTGTTATAAATATTCACAGACAAAAACCTGTCTTCAAATAACATTAAGACTCTTTGTGGGCTTAAACCCACAAAGGCAATTGAGTTCGGAGTTACCACTCACACACACACACACACACCCACACACACACACACCCGCCTGCCCCACCAGGCTTGGGGTTGGTAGGTGTCCTCCCCACCACCCCAGTATCACTTCATTCCTGCAACTACCCTCTGCCCCAAGACTGGTCATAACTTAAACCAAAAAACATGTCCAGAGAAAGGACTCCTCTGGTTCCAGCACACACAGTCCCTACGAAAACAGGCACAAAGAGTGAGCAGGAAGGGATGTTGTGGGTCTTCCACCACACTGCACTGAGTGAGAGTAGTCTAGACTATGTGTAAGGTGCATGCAGGCAAACAGAGGCTCTATGGTCTATCAGAAAAATTGTATGGAGTCACTGTGACTGAGATTTCCCCAACCTGAGTCCATGGGAAGGAAGTACAGCAAGGTGACCAGAGCAGGGGGCAACTCGGCCTCCGATACTGTGATTGATTGCTCCTCTTTGTTAAAGATGGGCCAGGCTAGGAGCTGTCACCCCAAATCTGTAGAACAAAGCTGTGAGTGAAGTAATTGCCCAAGGCCACAGGGTATGAGCCCAGCTGAAACAGGATTAGATCTCAGATCCATTGGCCTCCACTGTCGGAATACTTCCATTCTCTACTGCCCACTCCCCCAAACAAGTGTTTTCTTTTGCAAAAGATGTCTGAAATCATTTTCCTGAGACCCCTAAATGTACCACTATCATGGAAGTTTGTTTTGTTTTTGTTTTTAATTGAAAATAGCTTCAACTTTATGAAGCCAGAAAAATCCTCATTAATTTGAAATGGGTCGAAGGAATTGATTCTTTTCTTTTAATTGGAAAGTAATTTGCTCTGACTAAGCATTTAAATTCCTAGCTTCGCTGACAGTGAATTCTTAACAGCTGAGGTTCTCATCCTGTGATACAAACCCTGTAACACAAATCCACACAGCCCCATGGCAGTCTGTTCACCCTGGCAGACACTGGCAGGTGGGGTTCTGTAGCTGGATGTTATTTGAGTCACTAGTCATACATTTTCATCTCCTGGCCCAGTCATGTGGACCTGAATTGGATGTGCCTAGGAAGGGGCTTTCCCTCTCCCCAGTATCTAGATTGTAGACTGTGGTTAGTTAGTATATTTCCTGAAAAAAGCAAAGGCAGGATCCCTCCTCCGGTGCCAGACAAATGGCCTCATGGGTCTCATTGCTTCTGCTGACTGTGAAGCCCAGGACTGCCCTTTAAAGAGTCTCTTCCCACCACTCCTGTCTTTCCGCAGCAGCTAGCAAAACCCAGCTCTTTTAATGTGTTTACCTAAAGGCTCATTTACACAATCTAGATCATGTTCCTTCCACACAACCCACCTTTACCTTCCTTCATAGAATCTAAAGACAATTTTTTCCCTCCCCTTCTCTTTCCCCAACCCACGCCAGTCTTTTCAAGAATAGCTTCAGGAGGCAATGTTCTATAGAGCGTGTCAGTGCATCTCAGGTGACACAAATGGTAAAGCATTTTATAGAAATGTGGCTTGTCACCATTGGACTGTTGACAGATCTATTAGTGCACCCTTTTCAATTTTCACTTTTCCCCCCTTTGCTGTACAGATTTTCACAGACTTGATATTTTGCAGTTGTTCTTGGAAGAGCTGTTTTGTAATTGAAACCCCAGCATTGTTCAATATATGTAGGCCCCTTGTCTCTGGTGATCTCGAGCTCTTTTTTCTTGAGCTAATTTAGGATTTGGCTTCCCCTGACCTATCTCGCTGTAGTGGAAAATATTTCCTTGGCTTTTTTCTCTCCCTTCCTCCCACTCCCTCCATGCTACATGGAACCTATCTCTATGGCTCCCTGGATGCACCTAACACAGATATCACAAGTTTGGTTTCTGCTCTGAAATTGAGGCAGTTGCCAGCAAAGACCCAATTTTCCAATGTGCTGGTTTGCCACCTGGCCCTCCTCTAACTCTGCATAGCAATGGTGACCTTGCACATATAATCAAGAACCCAAGCCTGCCCTCTTTGCTCTTGCCTTAGGTTTGAATTGCAAATAGAGAATGTGAGGCCGACCTGAGGAGAGGTCACTACGGTGTGTGGAGGGTCCATCTCTAATGCGACTGAGCAGTGTCCCTTTCCCATCCCCTTGTTCATTTGTGCTATAGATTTTCAAAGCCTCTGAAATAGCTTTCAGGGTATCTGTGACCACTGGCAAGTGATTGTTCATAGATCCTATAGTGTGGCTTTATTCCACATCTGTTCTGCTTCAGCCCAGGGACAAAAAAAGAAAGATGGAGAACATATTTCTCTGGATAAACAGAACAAAGTGATCAGGTTCTGCTGTACCCTGGCCTCCTTTGAAGTTCAACCAGCTCAGAGATAGGAAGGAGAAATGACAAGGATTCCAGCCATGGCTTCCTAAGGGGAACAGTGGCACTTCCCTGGGGATATGTCCTCCCCAGACCTGACCTGCTGAAGAATATCAGCAAGTTTCATTCTTCTACCCTGGTCCAGGCTGGCCAGAGAATACCACCATAAATCTAGTGGCCGCACATGCTCCCTCTTCACCTGTAGGGAGCGCTAAGACACACACAGAAGGATGCCATGTGTGCCCTTAAGGAATACCTGAATTTTTTTTTCTTTTGTATCAAAATGCTTTAGCCAAATGGGTACATTTCATGGCCATTTGGAAAGTGCTTTAGTCAAATAGGCACATTTCATGGCCATTTGGGAAGTTTCTAAACCTCTGTTCTTTAAATGACAAAATAAGTTTGCTTAGTATCTCTGACTAAAAGGAGAAAACCCACAGTTGGCTTGAATTTCTAGCCCAACACCTGCAAGCACAGTGAAGGGCATAAGCAAGCATGTCAGGGGTGGGGAGAACAGGTAGACTCTTTCAGAACAGACATTTTTACACCTTTTCACACAACTGTCAGCTCCCTGTCTTTAGACACATTAAAATATGCTGCATTCTCAATCACTGAGACTCCAATTTTGGCTTCTTGTTTGATGTCACTATTCATATTTTAATTTACATTTGCTGTTGTGGGAAGTAGACTGGGGAAAGACAGGTACAACACAAACCTCAGAGGAAAACTGTTCTCACACTAGAAATGAGAAGGTGCTGGCTTTGGCCGTACACAGCCCACCCCACCCTACCCCCAGTGCCCTCTCATGGGGATGTGGCATTTGGGCTTCTGGGACTAACCAGAAGATTCAGTCTAGTTGTGTAGGATGTTAACTGTGTGGCCCTGGGGGGCATTACCAGCCCTCTCTGTTTTCCTCATCCATTAACTAGGGACCGTCTCAGAAGAGGCGACATGTTAATAGTGGTACTTAGTTGCAACTCCACAAATGAGAGTGCATCCTCTCCATTTCTTTGACTTCATACCTAGAACAGTCTGCCCAAACGGCCATGTGTACACACACTGAGAGATAGCTGCCGTGGGACCACCTCCCTTTAAATTGCTTACACAGCCACAAGAGGAATCCTTCCAGAACATGGCTCTGACACAGCTATATTCCTTTGGCTAAGGCCCCCCTGTCCTTACTGACCTCAGCCTGCCCAGCAAAGAGAAGGGTGCTCTAGCTGTTTTGCAAGTGCTGGGCCCTACTCCCAGTTCCAGGTGTGAATACATGGCCTGTCCCCACCTCCTCTGAAGGCCTTAATGGCCCACTTTGTTCCCTGGCTCACCAGGTCCTAGCTTCATGCCCTGCCTGTGTACTGATGCTCATCCATGGAGGAAAACCATGTGCTATGCCTGTCTTCTCCACAGAGAGCTAGAGGATAGCTGTCAGCACTGTTTATTCCTGGGAGGTCTGGGAAGGTGGCAGGAGTAGAATTCTCTCTGCCTCCTTTGCTCTGCCTAGCATGAGGCTTGGTGGAGCTCTCCCTGCTCTTACCTTTGAGGCTCCTGGAAAGAATTTGCTACCCTGTGGTAGCCTCTTGAGTTGTAACTCTTCTTCCTCCTGTGTGACCAGCCCTTCAGGAAGGAGTTGGCCCACGCCTCCTATGGCACCTTGTTTTTAAAATGACATTTAGAAGGTCAAGTTTTGGGGTTTGGTTTTTTGGTTTTCTTTTTTTTTTTTTTTTTTTTTTTCTTTTTTGGATTTTCGAGACAGGGTTTCTCTGTGTAGTTTTGGAGCCTATCCTGGCACTCACTCTGGAGACCAGGCTGGCCTCGAACTCACAGAGATCCGCCTGCCTCTGCCTCCCAAGTGCTGGGATTAAAGGCGTGTGCCACCAACGCCCGGCGGTTTTTTGGTTTTCTGTTTGCCAACAAAATGCATGTTTACTGGGAATTCAACAAGTCAGGAGAGAAATAATGTCCCTTCCATCTGCATTTTCTTGTAGTGTGTACTGAACATGTCCCCACCTTCTAAAAAACAATTCTTCCATGTATCCCTGTTTTAAATAACTCATGTATTTTATTGGATGGGTATATATACACATACTACAAATACAGACACATATGCACACGCACATACATACACACACACTACACATACACACATGCAGGCACATTATACACACACACACCTTAATTCTGTTACTGGACACCTGAGTTACTTCTAGGTTTCTTCATTTGAAAGCATTTTTAGAAATGGAATTAGAGGGCCACACGGCACTCAAATCTTGCAGTATTTTTATGTAAACTTCCAGTTTGTCTTCCTCCCAGAAGGGTGTCAGGGTACCCATGTCCCAGTCCTTTAACTGATGTCAGCTAGTTCATGGGCCAGTTTCTTTAATCAGAGACTACAGAGTTGTTCTGTTGGCTGCTACTCATACAGTCTGTCTGCTATTAGATGAAAAAGAGGATATTCACTGTTCTCATTCTTCCATTCCTCTCTTGACCCATGCTCCGCCCCCTCTGCTCCCTGGGGCATCCTAGGAGGAAGCAGTTGTCTGTACCCAGATGGAGGAAATAGTGTAGCTAAATGGGAGCCATGAGAAAGTACAGAAATTCAGACCTCTCTGGATGTTCCAACTAAGCAAAATGTGCCTATCAGACACAACGGCACATTTACCTTCTAAATGCTAACTCAACTTAACAGATTTATGGAATAACTGTGCTAGACTCAAGAAAACCCAGACCCCAAGGAACTCACAGTCTGAAGAGCCGCACGGAAGATGACATAGGACATGGCAGCCTGTGACCAGTTTAGCAAGGAGGACAGCCAATGAGGAAGAAGGGGTCATTTCTGATGGCCCAGCATTGCATATACTCCCTCAGGTCTAAGATACCTTCCCACTTGAGCCTTTGTTAGAAGTTGATATGATTTAAATGTCACATATTTTAGGTTCCTCCACTTTGTAGCTCTGTGATCTTGAATAGGTTCCTCTGTCTGGATCCTAGTGCTTCACCATAAAGAAAAAGATAATCCTATTGACTTCATGATCATCTCGAGAATGAAGTATGAGAATGGAAAAGTAGCTACCAGGGTTAGGTGCCCCGACCCCAACAGGGAAGCATTGTGTCCTTTGTATTGTGATCTCTCAAAGCCTCCTCATAGCTCAACTCATTTAAACCATCCTCCACAGACCTCTGCCAGACAATTGGGAATCTCTCTCCCTGATGTAAAAACAAAGAAACCGTTGCAGAGGTTGGATGGGTCGGAAAGGCTGGGGAAGCTAGTTGATGGAATAGATAATGCTAGAAGACAGCGATTTTACTTAAAGCTTAAACTAAGACACTGTCCCAAAAAATTATCATGCTTTCTTTTAAAAGTAAATATTTTATAGTTTCCTCGTTAATATATTTCCCTACCATGTTACCTTGTAGCTCCATTTTTTTTTCAGTCAAGTGCGTGCGTGGGCGTGCGCGCACACGCGCACGCACACACGTACACAGAGGCATACACACAGACACACACACACACACACAGGCACACGTGGTGTGTGTGCAGGATGTCTTTTACTGAACCAAAAATAAATCTGTTAAGGTTTGGCCTCATTCGACCTGTGTTAATCCTCTAGATGCACCCACACACACCCGAAATGCCCCTCTGCCCTTTTGTTGCTCTCTGACACAAAAGGAACCCCTCCCCTACTTTGTTCCATTTGACCCAGGCATCTTAGGGCAGCCCCTTTCCAAACAATCCATTTCTAATTGGCTGTCGGCAGCCCCTTTCATCACTGAGCCTTAGCTTAGCTGAGACTGGCCAATCCATTGTGGGCCACATGACCCAAGCCCTGTTTGTAAGGCCAAAAGGTCTACCTACCTGTATCTGACCAAGCAGAGACTCTTCTTGGCTGCCTAAATAGCAGCTAAATCCTTAGGAAAGGAAGCCAGGAGGTTGGTAGTTGATGTGTAACACTGTACACGCACACATGCATGCATAGAAGCTATCTGTTTCATACCAATAGTTTATTGGGTAGCTAATAAAGATCTAGGCACTTACATTGTATTACCTATCTCCTTTCATCCCTAACTCCCATATCCCCATTTACAGATAGGAAACTGAGGCTCAGAGGTGTTGCCTTTATTTCCTCCTTAAAACATAATTATCCTAATTTCCCTCTGTCTCATGATTCTCTAAGTTCAGTTGAGAAAGAGTAGCCAGTGATCAGAAGTCTTTTGCATGGAGAATTTGAGGAATATTCTGTTTACCAATTGTTTCTACATTGGAAAGAATTGAATGTTGTTTAATTCAGACTCTGAATTATTTTTATATGGTAAAAAATGACTATTTAAATGTTATTTTTTTATATCTTTATTCTCTGACTTGTAACTTTCTTGACCTCAGTAAAACACATAATGCTCATTGCAGAAGGGGAATACATCCATGTTTTGACCAACTCACACCAGCACTCCCTGACAGCCACCGCCAAAGAAGCCACAGCTGACCCTTTGCACACAGGCAGTTTTCTTATCCCTACCATTTGACTTCATTCACCAGACACACAAATGAAATGAAATGAAATGTTTAGGTTTTAAAAGCTTGGCCCTGTAGATACTCAGCAGGTCAGGTAGACCCTTAGGTCCTTCCAGAAACACAAGTAGGGAGAAGGCAGGAATGTGATTAGGAGCACCATCAGTAAGCACACAGAGGAAAAAGTCCACACTCAAAAATAATCAAAGTAATGCAAATTAAAACAACAATGAGGTCTAATTTTTCACCTATTAAATTAGCAATACATTTTTAAAATGATAAGGCTAACAAGTACTGTGAAACTGATAACACACCCATTTCAGGGAGTTGGTGTAAATTGGAAAGCAATTTGGTAGAATGAATAAAAAGCCTTGAAATGTGTTTATATGTTTGATCTCATGCTTTCATTCCTACGGATTTCCACAAAAGCAATAATATGAAAGGAAAGAAATGTATTGCTAGCATTTAGAAAGGAGAAATAAAAAAACAAATACCTAATAGTTATGGGATGAGTTATTAAATCATTAGATGTCTACTCAATTATGCATCCATTGAAATTATTATTATAATGACTGTGTAGCACCATGGTGATGCTTATATTGGAGCAAAAACAGGATATAAAATTATGCATGAGCTGTGATTACAAGTAATTTTTAAATGTCTGCATATAGACAAAATGAGTGTGAAAATGAAAATAGCCATAGAAGAATGTCGAATGAAATGTTTTTTTCACCACTGTGAATTATTATGTTTATAGTTTTATGTGGATGGTTTTGGCTTCTGTGGTGCATCATTGCCAGAAGGCCAAGTTAGCTTCTATTTCCTCCACCTCTCCCAGGAGTCAGGCTTAGAAAGCCTGGAGGGAGTTCTTAGAATACCCCTCTGCTTGTGAGGATGAGGTAAGAGGACAAGGGGCCAAGACCCTATGCCAACCCCAGACCTTCCTTCTCCCTGCAGGACATCGCTGAGAACGGTTGTTCGTCCTCTGCAGAAGAGCCACTACCAAAGACCATGCCATCCCCCCTGGTAGAGGCCAAGGACCCCAGCCTTCGAGAAGACCGGAGACCAATCACAGTCCACTTTGGGCAGGTATGTACTGTGCACTCCCACAGGACTGTGCGTTTTGGGTTTGGTTGTATGAGAAGCTAAAGTGTGAGCAGCACAGGTTTGCAACCCGGCTCTCCTTCAGTAAAGCAACTCCATGATCTTCATGTGGTCAAGTGTTTGACACATAGTCTGAAGGTGAATTTTCAAAAACGTAGGTGGGGACAGCATGGCACTGGTCATCAGTAGCTCCACTGTTAAATGGAGTCATTAAATGTACCTGCTGCCTCCCCCACTACAAGGCATTGCATTTAAGGAGCCTGATAGCTAAGCATCTCATTAGAACACTTTGGCATCCCAGGCCTTTCTTTGCACCTTCAAATAAAAGGCAACAAGCAAAGACTTAAAAAAAATCAATTAGGAGTTCTTTATTAATGTACTTCCTGAAAATCAATATTCTTAGAGCAAACACCCTTGCTGTGGTTCTAGAGATCCAACTCTGCCCAACTGCTTGCAAGGATCTGAGCGCTTAAAAAAATTATCTACTCATTTGAGTTTATTTCTTTCCTCTTAAGTAATACACTCTTTACAGAAATTGAAATTTTCATCCATTTTCTGCCTGTAGTTACATTTTCAATTAAAAAGATGGTGTACCCTTCCCCACTTCTCTTCTATCAACTGCTCTAATTATCAAATATACACGTGTTGTGTGTGCTGTGTGTGGTTTGTTTTGGTGCTTTTGGCTTGATATGGTTTCTGAAATATAGTTGTAACAGGGCTCCCTTAGCAAGGTGTGGTTGTGACAAAAGTCTGCAAGGATTCTTGTTGCTTGTTTGTTTGTTTGTTTGTCTGATGCTGGGGCTATAACCAAGGACCTATGTGATACTAGCTCAGCCAGCGCTGTTGTACTAAGCTTAAATCTCCTGACCCTTTAACCATTCCCTAGATGAGGTATGATAAAGCTAGTCTGTATGATTCTTATTTACAGTAAGTAGGATTGCTATTTCACCTAAGAAAGGGCCCAGAATCCTGCATTAAAACATTTCTTGTTTTGAGAGCACATATACACAAGTGCTTAGTGTATATCAGGCATTGAGCTATTTAAAAATAAAGAGAACCAGACCCTGGAGATGGCTCAGCATGTAAAGACGCCTGCAGCCAAACCTGACAATTTGAGTTCAGTCCCCAGCTACTACATAATAGGAGAAAACAAACTCTCTCTCCCAGTCTGTCCTCCGACCTCCAGTGTGGGCCATTGCATGCACACACACCCCATATGTAAGCAACCATACATACAAAAATAAATAAAAGTATAAAAGGAAAAAGAGAACTAGCGAGACTGTTGCTGTGGGTAATGTGTCCTCACCTCATTAATTGGGGAGATCTGCCCCATTTCTCATTCTGCACTTAAAGAGGCTGCTGTAGAAACTGATGCATACTGTAAAACAGAAGCCTCCTCTGCTGTCTGCACACTGCTGTCTGCACCCTGAAGACCTGCCTCCTCTGAGCCTTATGCACTGTTGTAGCAGTCCTCACCCCAGTTCCTGGCCATGTTTGCTGAAAGCACAGCCCTGGTTGTCACCAGCCTGGCACTCCAGAGTCAGCTTCCTGCTCTCCTTTGTCCTCATTCCTGCACATGCAAACCTGCCTGTGAAAGGAGCCCTTGCTAGAGTTGGGAGCCCATTACAGAGACAGAGGGGGCGGGGGAGAGGGATTTCATGGTGTTAAACATTCCATTTTCAAAACACACAAAAAAGGAGGCCTATTTGAAATAGAGAGGCCTTCTTTCCATTTCAGCAAGAAATAAAGGCTTTAATGTCATTCCCAGATAAATGCAGAATAAGAGCGTGTGTGCTCACACGGGAGGGAGATAAACAATTAAAAAAGCCACCCCAAACTCTGTTGAAATAAGAGCTGTCTGTGCCTTCACAGGTCTGCATACTGGAGAGGATGAAAGTGGCTTTCCCCGTTTGTCACTTCCCTCACGTGGCTGCCAGCATTATGCAAGTATACAGGAAGGCAGGATTTTTTTTTAATGCATGCATGCGGATTAAGGTCAAGCCCCTAGTATCAGCCATGCAGCGGGCTCTCCCTTCCAGCTGCAGCCACAGAGCCTACCCACAGCCTCGAGATGCCTTAATTGAGACGTGCTGTCAAAGTGACAAACACATTTGCATACAGTCTACAATCTATTTATTTTCTCTGGAAAGGTCTACAGTCTGCTGTTGGTTGAACATTCTTAATCAGTTTGCTGTAAGTGAACTGCCAGCTAGCTCACTTGTGCCGGCCCCTTCTTCATTAGGTGACAGATTAGCTAGGGTGGGGGTGGGAGGCAGAAAAACCACAGGCACCACCCCCTCTTTTTTTTTTTTTAACTCTTTCCAGCTTTGCCCCTTGGTAGGTTGTCCTTCAGTCCTTCCTTAGTGCCTTCTTTGGTAGGCCATTGGTCACAGGAGTACAATTCTTCTGGCCAGCCAGAAAGAACTTTAAGGTTTTTTCCAGTTTTAAAATGTTTGCTACATTCTTCTATATTTTTCTTTACTTGGTGATGTTCTCTAAACAGTTTGAACCTGATTTGCATTCAAACTGTAGCCTCATTCATAGTATCTGGTTTTTTTTTCTTCTAATCTATAACTAGGTTTAAATGTCTGTAATATAAGAGAATGTAAATTCTCTTCTTAGGGGTACAGAAACAGACATGACAATATCCCTCACAATATCTTATATGAAGGAAGGGACTGTTGGCCTTGTTTTGTGGGTCAAGAGCTGAAATACCTGATCACATACCTGAAAGGACCTACCCAGACTGCATCCCCAGTGTGGATACTCCAGACAGTCTGACTCAAACCTAGGCAGATCATACCTGCTAACCTCCTAACCATCCTCACCCTAGGCTCACATTCCTGAGGGTCTTTTTTAAGTTCCCTTAGCTGGAGCTAGGCTTGGTAATACATGTCTATAATCTTGGGCTTTGGGAAGCTAAGACAGAAACAGCAGAAGTTTGAAGTCAGTCTGGGATACATATGATAACACTGTCTCAAAAATAAATAAGGTGAAACAAAATAAAACAAGCACTAAGTTCACTTAGTTGGCCTGTGAGAGTCAGAGATGTTGAGATGGCTACATTAACCCTTCTACCTTATAACACTAGTGCTAGTGCCTAGGCAGGACAGCCCCATGGACACATACTACAGGGTGACAGCAAGAGGCACTGTGGTACAGCAGCTGGCAAGAGAAGAACTCAGGGCCAAGAGTGGCTACTGTCAGGGAGAAGAGATAGGTTCTTATCCATTGTTCTTTTCAAGGCTGGGACAATGTCTCAACACAAAAGCAACTAGCCTCCACCCTTATAGGACATAATGATAAAGACAGGCCTGAGAGAGAGGAGAGAGGAGAGAGAGAGAGAGGGTGGAGAGAGAGAGAGAGAGAGAGAGAGAGGGTGTCTGTGTGACTAGGTGTCTGTGTGTTGAGGTGGGGAGGTCAGCAGACCACTTACAGAAATCAGTTCTCTCCTCCTACCATGTGAGTTCTGGAAATCAAACAAGTGCTTGCTAAGCAGCAGGCACCTTTACACACTGAACCATCTTGCCAGCCCCTGAAATGCAAACCGTTTAAATAAAGACTAAAGCCAGGCAGGATGTTGCACCTCTGTAATCCCAGCACTTCAGAGGGGCTAGAGGCAGGAAAACTGGGAGTTCAAGTCCAGCCTGGGCTACATGGAATGCTAACTCAAGAAATAAAGAGCTGGGTAGTGGTGGCACACACCTTTAATCTTAGCACTCAAAAGGCAGGTGGATCTCTGTGAGTTCGAGGCCACCCTGGTCTACAGAGCAAGTTCCAGGACTACACGGAGAAACCCTGGCTCAAAAAAAAAAAGGAAAGAAAGAAAGAAAGAAAGAAAGAAAGAAAGAAAGAAAGAAAGAAAGAAAGAAAGAAAGAAAGAAAGGCAAAAAGAAAAAGTAAAGGGAGAATATTGCATAAGTCCTGAGGCCGAATCATTGCTAAAACGTTGCTTCAGAGTTTAAAGGACTAAGTTACTCCTCACAGGCTACGGAGACAGTGGCAGAACTGCCCAAAAGCACCTAGTAAGAAGAAGCTGTGGTCCTGGAAGGGAGTATAGGGCATGCCTGTTCCCTTCACAGACCCCCAGAGAAGCTCTTCTCCCAAGGCAGGGGTGAGAAGACTGGCTCTTCTGGAATGGGGAATAGGAATTCTTTCCTGTCCCTGGCTTTAGAAGGGGAAAGGAAATAGGGTCCTCCCATTGGAAGGAGTCAGCAGAGGTGGCATCTTACACACACACCTCCTATAGAAACTTTTCCCTTCATCTAGTCAAAAGGCCGAACCACTGGGTACTTTGGATATCTCTGCTCACTAAAATGAGTCTTAACCATCAGCTGGCAAACTGGTTTCAGTTTGGCCATGCTCATGTATACTCTTGAACCAGCAGCATCACCTCTGCTTCTCTTAGCTATGAGTAATCCTCACCCCCTCCTAGAGAACTAAACAAATGCTAGAGTCCAGGGATGCTTGCTTCTAGCCCTGAGTTCAGGCTGCCAAGGCTCATTGAGAAAGAAGTGGAAGGATCAGTTCTTAGACCTTCCAGACTTGCTTCATGTTTCCAATGCTTCATTGATCTGCAAACTGAGTAATTGCTTGTTTTCCAATGTACAGATTCCAAGAAGTACATCTTGAAATGCACCTCTCTTCTCCTTCCATTTGAACAAAGAATTATGAGCTTTTTCAATGTAAAGTTTAAAAAACTGTTTAGGGGCTAGAGTGATGGCTCAATGATTAAAAGCATTGGCTGCTTTTCTAAAGGACCTGAGTTCAATTCCCAGCACCCATATGAAGGCTCACAACCATCTGTACCTTTAGTTTCAGAGGATCCAACTTCCACTTCTGGCCTCCATAGGCATCAGGCACACACATGGTACATAGACATACATGCAAGCAAAATACCCATACATATAAAATAATTTAAAGTTTGTTTGTTTTGTTTTTTGAGGCAGGGTCTCTGTATGTAGTACTGGCTATCCTGGAGCTTG